TTAACAATAGCTCTAACCTGACCCTTTACTTACACTTCAAGGTAAACAAATCTCATTTTCCTAAGATTTGGTCTTCCAAGCTTTCAAATGGGAATAATGATCTCTGTGTATCTTAAATAGTGTCCTGAAGACGTGCCTCAGAAACTAAGGGGCATAATATATCACCTTAATGCTCCAGACAAATGAAAATAAGTCATTTTGTGGCAGCATCAACTATGTCTCTCCACTTACAGAAAGTCCATTTGCCTCAGGCTCTTGAAGCTGAGCTCATTTCTTCCAAAAGGAAAAGAAAGCTTCTGGAATGTGAAAGCTTAACTGGGGAAGACAGACTTTGCTAATGGCACCCCACCCACGTCAAGTCTCCTATCTGGATAGAGCAGATTTCTAAAAGTGTCACCACATGAAAGGGAATGGATCTGAAATGAGGAATTCCCCGATGTGAGGGGAAGATGGTGTAGAATGGAGAAATCAGAATGCCCAGTGCAATCCCACTATGAGCTAGTCACCACTCGGCTTATAGCTCCATTTCCTTTTCCCTAAGACCTAGTCTAAAGAAAATAGTCAAAAAGTGTAGAGTTGAAACTATATTTGGATGAAAGTATATACATCAGGGATGCCAGATTTTGGTCATTCATTCATTCAACAAATATTTATTTAAAGTCTATTATGTTTTCAGGATGTGTATGTGTATAAAAGTGTGTGTGTGTGCACATGCATGTGTATGTCTGTGTATAATTTTCAAAGTACCCCTCCCAATGAAATGTATTATCATCAGTGGCACCCAGCTACCACATGGAAGTTATCTGACCTTAATATTGACTTTAGACTCTTTTCACTACAACCTGCTGAGCATCTAGCATAAAGTATTTAAGGAGCACCAAGTAAATTGATGTAATGAAAACAAGAAGACCAGTTTGTTTTAGTGTTTTGTTGTTGCTGTCTTTGTTTTTTCTGGCCGCACATTTGTATTCCATTCCTCACTCTGTTCTCTTCTGTGCTGGGGGCAGAGGGAGGAGAGAAGGAGAGAGAATTCCCCAGACACGAGCTGGCAGATGTAGCTGAAGGGCCCTCGGGACACTAGTAGCAACAGAAACTGAAGAGCTGTGTCCAAGGATGTTATTTTAAAAAGGGATTCACAATAGCTTTGTCAGCAGAATCTTGGAGAAGAAACTGCATCTTCTCTCTCTCTTTCTCTCTCTCCCTTGCTTTCTTTTTAACTTTGTCTTTTTTTGCTGTTGTTTAACCCTTCCTCTACCTATCTATCTATATATCATTTATCTACTTATCGACCTACCTACATACCTGTTTACCTACCTATTTCTGTTTCTACCTTTCCTCCATTCTCAGGTTCTGCTGATTTCTGGCGGACAAATTTATTGTGGTCTTAAACATAATCAGGAAGAAATTAGCCTTCAGAAGAACTAAATCTAGCCCCAATCCCTGTCATTCTGAGAGGTTTTCTGCTAAGGAAATTAATTAAGTCATTTTAGAGAATAGATCTTACCCTTATAGAGAATATAATCTTACCCTATTTTTCTTTATATTGGAGGAGAAGAAAGTGATACAAAGAGTCAGGCACCCCTATATTCTTATTTCCAAGAGGTTCTTCTTGTTGTTCTGTAGCCATGGCATGTAGGGGGAATATTTCTCTGCTAGGTATAAAAGGGCCAGTCTTCTACTTCTTGCTCTGCTACCACCTCTCTCAGTGACCTGGAAGCAGATGCCTTCCTCCCTGAGCTCACAGTTTTCCATTAGATAAAAAGTATGAAGGGGCCAGCATTGTACCCACCATCATTTGAAATCATTGCAACAACGCTGGGTAAATATCAATACCTCCATTTTTTTTCTTCAGTGAGGAAAATGAAGTTCAGAGGGGTTAGGTTACTTTATTTTTGTTCTCTTTGTAATGCTTATAGGAAGCAGAATTCAGATTTGGACCTACTTTTGCCTGATGTCAAACTCTTGCTCTTTTCAATTGTCTATTTTGGGTTTCTGAAGAGTAAACTCTGGGTTTATGGTGGTCAGTTTGGATTGGGCCTAGGTTATATGCTATGTAGACTGGCCACATTCACCAAGAGGTTGGAACTAATGAGAAGTGCTGAGCCTGTATTCTTTCTCTGGTTGAACTGCCGTGAATGCTATTGGTCACTGGCGTTCTCAGCTGGCTTACACCCATTCTTAAATAATTGACTTATAATAAATTGATTTATTCTGTCTTTTTTGCTCATTCTTTCTTTCTTCCTTTTTTCTTTCTTTTTCATTTTTTTTTTCTTTGAGAGAGGGTCTTGCTCTGTCACCCAGGCTGGAGTGCAGTGGTGTGATCACTGCTCACTGCAGCCCTGATCTCCCAGGCTCAATCGATCCTCCCACCTCAACCTCCTGAGTGGCTGGGACTACAGTTGTACACTACCATGCCCAGCTAACTTTTGTATGTTTTGGAGAAACAAGGTCTTATATCATGTTTTTGCTCATCTTGAACTCCTCAGCTCAAGCAATCTGCCTGTCATGGCTCTTTCCAAAGTGCTGGGATTACAGGCTTGAGCCACCGTGCCCAGCCCTATTCTGGCTTTTTTTGATAGTATTTCTCTAGGTAAAGTGTTGGCACAAATAAACAAGGGATCCTGGAGCTTGGGAGAAGTTCAGCATTCTGCTGCCCCTGAATTCAATGACTCCTTTTTTCAGATAGCATCGTAGAAATCTGTCTTGTTTCTCCTTGCTAGGGCTCATTCTCACTAGGGGAAAGAAAGTTGCTTGAAAGTATTTCAAGTGAGCACTGATTTCACAAGCTGATTTAATTCTTCCACCTAGAAGCAAATCGACCCCTTTAGAGTATTTTTTTTCTCTCTCAATGATTATTTTGGGATGTAAAAAGCACATTTATGTTCATTTTCTATTAGAGTTCTATGGTGATCCTGAGAGGTTATCCTGGCTGAGACTATAATTTCTACATTACAGATTGGGGACAGGGGGCAGAGGCCAAGAGTAAGTAAAGCCAGTTGTGCAAAGTTACATAGCTAATATAAGGGGTAGAAACCAAACCCTGGTCTTGGCCCTAAATTCAGTGCCCTCTCCAGGGCTCCACTCCATTATTTTGTGAAAGAATGTTCTAAATAAAGCAGAAGCCTTAGGGTGACCATACATCCCGATTTGCCTGAGAGATTCACATTTTCCCAGGATATGTTCCTTTTGCCTGGCCATAATTTTTAATAGCACCACTTCAGTTTAAAAGTGCTGTAGTTTGGATGATAAATTATATAGTAACTCTAAGACACTGGCTAGCAACTATATTTCAAGGAGCTCAGAATCTTTCCGAAGTGCTGCAACATGTAGACTTAACAGCAGCACAGTGGGAATAAGTGTTAAGATAGAAATCTTTATAAAATAGGCACCCACACAGGAGGTGGTATTTAGCTTTGCCTAGAAAAGTTGGGAAAATAGCACAGAAGAGCTGATGCTAGAATTAGTAAAAAGGTGGACAAGGTGATCTCTTTTGGATGGCCACATTGAGGTTTTTCCTTGTATTGTTCTGTGTTGAAATATCAAGAAACATGCATAGGTCATACCTACTTAGAAGGCATCCTACTGCTAGCTTTGTGCTTCTGTTATCCTTGTCCTTGCAGCTAAGTGAGAATCAGTGCAGCCAGCTGCAGCTTTAAATCATTCCAAACAGAAACCCTTGCTGTGGTTTAGATGACATGGGAGCTTGAGAATTCACTTGGTCTTTAACTAAAACTCCTGGGGTATCTGACAAGCCCTTAGAAGCCTGTAGCATTAGACAGGAAGGGTTCTTGGGGTCTCAATAGTGTAACCTCTTTCTCTGCTCTGATGGTTGAGCCCAGAGAGGCAAGGAGAGTTGTTCAAAGTAACAGAGCAATTTGGTTTTGGAGCTGGGAGTGAAGTCAGTGTCCCTTGTAAATCAGTTCATGCTTTAATGCAAAACTGAAATCTTCTTTGGAGTTAAATAGCCCCCAGTTTGCATCCATGAAGTTCTGTTGTGTCAAATAATGCACTCAGAACTTGGAAAGTGAATGCCTAATCTGGAGAACCAGATCAGCTATTAACACAATGTGTGACCTGGGCAACTTATTGCTGGAATCTCGGTTTCCTCATCTGGAAGAATATCTTCCTCGCAAATATTTTTTGATTTTGTTTTGTTTTGTTTTGTTTTGAGACAGGGTCCCATTCTGTCTCCCAGGCTGGAGTGCACTGCAACCTCCAACTCCTGGGTTCAAGCGATTATCTTGCGTCAGCCTCCCGAGTAGCTGGAATTACAGGTGCCTGCCACCACGCCCAGCTCAATTTTTTTGTATTTTTAGTAGAGACGAGGTTTTGTCATGTTGGCCAGACTGGTTTTGAACTCCTGATCTCAGGTGATCCACCTGCCTTGGCCTCCCAAAGTGCTGAGATTACATGTGTGAGCCACTGTACCTGGCCTTTCTCACAAAGTTTTTATGAGGATTGTTTACAGTAATGAAGGTGAAAGTGTTTGTGAACCTGTTATTTCAGCAGAGACACTCAACATGAGGTTTACCTTCTTTACATATTTTAAGTGTATAGTACAATATCATTAAGTATAAGCACACTGTTTGACAGCAGGCTCCTGTAACTTTTTCATGTTGCACAATTGAAACCACATACTCTCTGGAAAGCAACTCTCCATTTCCTGCTCCCCGAAGTCCCTGGCAACCACCATTTTACTTTCTACTTCTGTGAGCTTCCCTACTTTAGATGCCACCTGTAAGTGGAATCATGCAGTATTTGTTCTTCTGTGACTGGATTATTTCCCTTAGCATGGTGACCCTCAGGTTCATCCATGTTGTTGCAGGTGACAGAAGTTCCCTCTTTTTTTAAAAGACTGAGTAATAGTCCATCATGACTAATGATGATGGGCTTGACAGTACCAGTGGTTTTGGTGGTCTGATTCCACAGCTGCTGCTGATAGCTGAGGCCAAAGAACAAATATTTATTTATTCACTCTCTATCTTCATCTATACCTGCAGATGAACCCAGCCGGTGCTATTTCCATGATGGTGATGGGGTATGTGAGGAATTCGAACAAAAAACCAGCATTAAGGACTGTGGTGTCTACACACCCCAGGGATTCCTGGATCAATGGGCATCCAATGCTTCAGTATCTCATCAAGATCAGCAATGCCCAGGCTGGGTCATCATCGGACAGCCAGCTACATCCCAGGTAAGATCCTAACAATGTGCAATGTTTCCTGCAGACCTTCAGAATCACCACTATGCCACGCAACGCTACTTACCTCTAAGGCAGTGTCACTGGATGTGGCCACTTGAGCATATCTTTATTAAATGTACTGTTAGAGCTTCATGAATACCATTTGTAAAGGATTACATCTGAAATTGTTAGGGCAGGGAACATTGTATGATGGGATAACGCCTGTCCTCCTGTTTCCTTGCCTGTTATAACTAATATTTGGAGAAAGAACTCCATTTTGTATATATTATGGACTTCAGTAAGGTGAGAATGAATTTATATTGGAAGTCCCACTTTTTAGTGGGTGCCAAGCTGTGCACTCCCTGAACCATCAATGATTATACAGTAATTTGCTCTGTGGCCTTAGACTAGTTTCCTCACCTCTCTGGGCCCTATTTTTCTCCCTCATCCTTAAGATAAAGAGTAGTTGAACTTGTTGATCTCCAAGGACTTTCCCAATTCTATGAAGCTGTGACTCATGCCTTAGTCCCCTAATGTACTATTATGTGCCACAGTTCTTCCCCAGGGGACTGACAGCTTGGTCCAGGGAGTGAGAATTTTGGGGCCACCAGTGCTTGTATGATTCTAGAGATGGCCATGCTGTCCCGAGAGCCCCCTTTCCAATTACCTTGTGGAGGAAGCACCTGCCTTTCCTGAGACTCACATTTCCCAGAGACATGACTCAGTGCTTCTGGCTGCCTGGCCTAGTGGCGTTGCAGAGACCAACCTGCCTCCTGGCCTTGCAGATGAGCTACTATTCTCAGACATTCCTTTCTAATATTGCTTTCTTAATTTAGGTTCAGTGGGGTAGGCCTGGCTTCTAGATGAAAGAAAGATATGACCTTCCTTTGGGGTCCAGTGAAGAATAAATGGGCGAGCTGCAGAATAGGATCACCTCATTTTTAGTTGTTGCCTGTATTTGATTATTTCTTCATTCACTTTTTGTTTGTGTTTACATTACTAAAGCCTTTGTTCATTTGCATTTATTTTTGAATGCCCTCAGGAGAGTGGAAGCAAATGGTAACGTGACATTTTCTGATGCTTAACATGCATAGTGCCAGCTTGCTGAATGAATGAATGAGCGCATGGAGAGATGAATGGCTAGGGTTCATCCTCCCCCTGTGCCGCCTCTATACTTGGTGGAATCATATGTGTGGTTGCCTTTATCATAATGAACTCTTAAGTATCTGTTTTTGTGTCTGGCTCCTCCATTACTCTGCTGGTTCTTTGAGAACAAGTTTCAGTTTTATTCATCTTTGTTCCCTCATCTTCAAGCACAGGATCTAGATAGGTGTCCAGCAAATCTAGATAGGTGTGTTTCATTGACTGTAGATACACATGCACACACACACACACACACATCCCATTCCCACATGCAAATGAACAGCACTGAGAGACAACACTCAAGTATCACCACTCTATCACATAGAATGTCCTGCTTCATAAACAACAGGGCTGGGGCCAGCAAGAGAACCAGGAATTCCACAATCAACACTTGCATCCAGTTCTTAGAAATGTTTTAAAAACAACCTTCAAACAAGAGAGTTATTAACACACTCGGAACCTCCCATGAGCAAGAGTTGAGGTAGCAGCTGTGCTTAAAAATCACCCAAAGGTTATTGCGACTGCTGTGAGAAAAGGAGAGAAAGAATTTTTCAGTCTTAGCATTTGAAAAGAGGCTTCATGGGGCAATTATTCCAATCTTGTAAGGAGGGGCTGTCAGGAATTACGGGTGATTATCTCTTCCTAAACAAAAATCCAATTTAAATAATCATTATAAATACTAGCTCTTCGATCTACGCAGAGGAGATGAGGAAACAAAATCATCCTATTGAATTATTCATTGTAACCAATTTTATTTTAATGAAATTGACTAGGTTCCATTACTCTGGGCTTGGACATAATCTTTGTTACAAGGAGATTTCAGCTGTAACTAAATTTGCCATAATGAGATCAGCTCGCTCGCTGGAGAATACAGGGTCAGAGGAGGGAATATGTGTGCAGGCTGGGTGCAGGGCCAGGCAGAGGGCAGCAGAACAAAAGTCTCCTGAATTCCTCATCTGAAAGCAAGTACGTAAAAATCATTCACACACACACACACACACACACACCAGCACCACCACCACCACCACCACCGCACATAGAGGCACATGCACATGCATACACATGTACATGGGCACACAGTCACACACAGACACACAGGCATAGACACACACCTCACCACCACACACAGAGGCACATGCACATACATACATGTGTACATGGGCACATAGTCTCACACAGACACACACATACACATACGTGTACACACCCCACTACCACCACTACACACAGGGGCACATGCACACACATACACATGTACATGGGCACAATCTCAGACACACACACACACACACACACACACACACAGCCTGCATAATTAGAGGTAAAGGCTATTCCTGAAGCGCAAACATACCTCCCTTCCAACAACAGAGAATGAGAAGGAAGTATAACTGTGCCCTTCATTACTTTGTACAGTGATTAGAAGAGACTGGTAGTTAATTTTCACCCTGTCAGGGCTTTCAGTGAAGATGTTGATAGCTTGAGAGGAGGAGCTGGAAGGCTCTTAGAAGTTGGGCTTAGAAATAAGATGGGAATTGTTTCATGTGCATCTCACTCTCCCCCCAGATGCTCATACTGTCCCTCTTCTCTCTCTCCTTCTTCTCTATCTCTCTCTCTGTCCCTCTTTCTCTCTCTCTCTTGCTCACACACACACACACACACACAAAATACACCCACAAATCTACAAATGAAAAGGCCCTGTAGGAGCATGGGAGTACCAAAGCAGATAGAAGAGAATGGCAGGAAGGAAATAGTAGTTATCAAGGTCCACCAGCCACTGGACACATATATGCACATTATAGCCATTCCCTTTGTCATTTTTCAAGGTAGGATTTGTTGTCTGCCTTGGAGAAACTTAGGAACACAGTGGCTTCCCTATAAGTTACATAGTCCATAAGGGAAGAATCTAGGATTAGAAGAATCTCATGGAAGACGAATAACAGTGGGCCCTTGGAAATATGAGGTCACATTCAAAAGTTGGAAGTAGCTGGATTCCCGGAAATCTTCACGACAAAATAAGCAGAAAGACTCCTAGATGAATAGATCTCAGTGTGGAGTGTCACTATGCAGTGCAGACTTCACGCGGTACTTGTATTCTCCTTGAGCAAACTTATAGTCACTGCCCATACCTTCAAATTCAGGCTGTTCCCATTCCCTGACAAGGTGGCCCTATTCCATGGCACCCTGGAGTTCCCTAGGACACTCCATGAACTTAGGGAATGATGAAATAACCAAGTCGTTCCCGTTTCCTCTATGCAATTCCTCCTTACTCAAACCTTGAGTAAGTTACTCCTCTGGGAATCTTAGTGTCCTATAGAAAATGAGAATAACATCTACCTTGTGGAAATTAAAATGGATAATTCAGTTTGGTCCCACTGTCTGTCTTTCCTGATGTAATAAAAATGATAAATACGGATGTTTGTTGGGATTATGTGCCTAGTTCTGTGCTAGAGCCTGTGAAAGAAACCAAAGAACTGAAATACCCAGCCTCTGACCTAGTCACTGTACAAGACTTAGGAGTGAGAATTCTGTGAAAGGCACATTCTTAGCACAATAAGTCTGCAGGATCTCTATGACTACTGCAAAGAAACAACATGCATTGCGCTGTATGGCTTGAGAATATTAATTAAAACCCCAGTTTTGATGTTGTAAAAGCCTGCCGCGTCTAATAGTTTCCAGTCTTTCTCATTCATTCTTTTCAAAAAAGATCCCCAAATTTGGTTACAGCAAGGACTGAACGTTGAGTCTCATATCCAAACCTTATCAAAAAGTATCAAAACTTCCTGGTTGTGCAAATTTGGTTGAACATCCTATAAAAAGAGACATTCTTTGGATATTTTGGCCATGCACCTTCCTGGCCCAGCTGGAATCAAGAAGTTCCCGAGACACAAAAAAAGTGGAAATTAACCAAAAAAAATCAAATTCTATCTCTTCTGGGAACCTCAAAACCTGGTTTGGGTTAAGTGCTTGCAAAGATCTCGTATTGTTCTTATTTTGTCTCCCTGTTTCACATTTCTCTAAAGCTTTACACAAAAGGCTGCCAAAATGAGATGTTGATATTCCTTCCTTTTGCACCCACCAACAGCATTTTTACCAGTCTGTTTCCTCCTATCCAAAGAGGCACCTCTCTCCTTTGCAGAGGCCTGAGGAGGAAATGGAAATCCTAAGACTCCCTGGAATTTACAGTGCTCTCTCCTAAGAGATTACAAATCTTCAGTCAACCAACACATTTATGTGGTTAATCCTTGGAGGGTAAAACTTAGACTAAGCATTTCCAGGGCAGAAGTTTGAGGGCCAAAGTAAAGAAAACCTTTCAAAGGATGAGAACTATCCACAGTGGGATGGAGTGCATTATGATACAAGAAGTTGCCCATCATAAGGCATTCTGGCTGGGCTGCTGACTGAACAGAAGGTTCCTGAACTAGAAGTCAGGTGAGACCTAGGTATTCCTCTTTTCTTTGTAATTGATTCTCTAGCTTTATGTCCCATTAACACACTATTGGGTGTATTAGTCTTTTGCCACTTCATTTAGAGTTGCTATTATTACTTCTTAGCCCATCCATGATACTTCATGCCTCTAACAAAATACAAAGCAGGCTGGGCATGGTGACTCATGCCTGAAATCCCAGCACTTTGGGAAACTGAGGCAGGTGGATCACCTGAAGTCAGGAGTTCAAGGCTAGCCTGGCCAACATGGTGAAAACCCATCTCTTCTAAAAATACAAAATTTAACCAGGCATGGTGGCAGGCGCCTGTAATTCCAGCTACTTGGGAGGCTGAGGCTGGAGAATCCTTTGAACCTGGGAGGTGGAGGTTGCATTGAGCTGAGATCATACCATTGCACTCCAGCCTAAGCAATAAGAGGGAGACTT